GCCTCGGGTACTCTTACCAAATTCGAATTTTCTAGGTCCCTGAGACGGGAGTCATTATTTTCTGCTGAAACAGTTTGTTCGCACAAACACCGCCCCCTGTGGGCGGAGTCCGGCCCTGCGACCCACCACATGTGTTTCCATCCTGCCGCCTGTGCTCCTACCATATTTGAACGTCCTAGGTCCAAGGGGACAGGAATTATGAATTTCCGTACAAACAGACAGACAGACGGACAGACAGACAGACGCGAGCGCTTTATATAAAGTAAGGATAATTCAATGGAGAATGGGAGTGAAATGTCAGGTTCAAGTAGTCCGTGGGTCCTTCCAATCAAAAACCGCCGAGGGTCGTACGAATGCTATCGTCTGCCCTACTTCGAACTCGTGCTCCAATAATAAAAGTTGAAATCGTCCACGATTCCCCACGATTCCGCGCTATTTGCCTCCTCGTGCAGCCACGAACGAGCCAGAGTTCCGTCCCCCTTTTCATGCGAGGGTCAGCTGCGGGCTGCCTTAAACAAATGGGAGTGTCGTGATGTGGGTTTTGGTTATGATTCTCAGCATCTTTTTTTGAAAGTGAGCAACTGTTTTAATGCTTTTCATAGTTTAAGTTACAGATGAGTAGCAAGAAAAAAGTTCAGAAGAAAAAAGGCAAAGCCAAAGATGTACCTGATGATTTCGACGACCTGGTGGAGAATGCCAATGATGATGGGTGTGGCTTATCGCGAAAGTATGCCACAGACATCATAAGGTGTGTTTGAAGAAATCCCGCTTCTTCTTTTAAGGTTTAAGCGTTCGTTATTAAGGCTGATCAAATGTCATTCGAAGCCATTGAATAAGATTGCTGCAGAGTTTGTTGAGGTATGGCACATAAATTAACTTCATCCATGGATTTCACTATTTGAGAACGTTAAACAGATCTTCAAAGAGCGATGTTCGCTTGTGGTTGGCATGGCGTTGCTGGCGATTTACGATGATTTAGCGCCTACAGATGACATTGCTAGCAAAATCATTACCGTTTATTTGATATATAGGTAGGAACCTTTTTAATGCTGTCTTTGAGTATATCTACTAGGTACTCACGAGCTTTTTCAGAGTCCGTGACATTGAAGTAGGACTGAGGCGCAGAAATCCTGGTGGGATTGAAGATATATTAGGCCATCCATTTATGTCTTTTTTCCTTAACCTGGTTCGTTCTACTCCTCTTAGCATCAATCTTTTCACACTTCTATTTATAGCCATGTATTTGCTGGACTTCTTAGTTGATTTTAGGTAGAGTCGAAGGTCGTCGATGACATTTGTGTCACATACCCGCTCCCAATTGGCATTGAGCGTTCTATAGTTCTAAGGATTTTGAATGGAAAAACCTCTGAATTCGCCAACATGAGCGCCATTGATCTTCTTGCTGGTGGTTCCTTAAATGATGTGAGTTTTTACAAGTTTCTGTATGTTTAATATTATGAATGTTGAGCTACAAACTTAGTGGGATTTCAATCCTGACATTGCTATACTTCTACCTTCCTACTTTACGGCCTCTTTTGAGTGCTTGCTTTTCTTCTCTTTTCCGTCGAGGTTACTTCTCAATACAAATGTGAAGTTTAGGAACGAAAATGTCTTCTGTACCTTCCGTTTATAGGCCAATCTCGGCTTCGCTGAAGCGGAACAATTCTATGTGAAACAAACAGCTCG